TTCTGCCTGATAATCCCTATCACTAATTTCCGACCCATTTGTCCCCGTGCCTTGGTTTCCACTGTGAATGACAGTTCTGAGCAGCACAGTATTTGGGATTACACACTTGCCACCTAAACTCACACACACTTGATCCTTTCTAGGAAGCGCCTTTGTTGGGACTCATCTGTAGGGAAATCATCAAGTTGTCCACTGGCCGGAACATTGCCTTCTGATCAGAGATGTCTCCTCTGCTACCTGGTGCTAACATCCCTGTCCCCTGCGCTGGCTCCTTGTTGGTGCCCATCTGCAGACTGATTCTGGTCTGATCAAAAGGTTTGTCCGTTTGCATTTTGGGATCACGAAGACACCTCCTAATTCTGTAGGCTGTCATGCCTGCCTGCGTGGCTGACACATCTTTTTGTTTCCATCCACAAAACAATTACACTTTGCCCCAGTCTAATTTTCCTTCGTCAAAACGTCTTGTTTTTCTGCATACTTAACTCCATTGTCAAGCTTGCGTGTGATCCCTTTGTTCCTTTTTGCCAGATCTGATAGAACCACCAGTGTAGTCTGAACCTGGGCCATGTTTCAATGCTTAAAATGATCATTTGCTTCAAATATGTCATGTGGCTTCACACCATAAGCCTGAATAGCTTTAATAAAGTTGCCAATATTTTTCAACTGAGGCCAATTTAATGAGCATGGCTGTCACTTGTTTATGGGTTCACAGAGCATGATGCCATCTTTCAGACCTAACTGGAAGCTGGTGCCAACACTCATGCCTACCATTTCTTCTGTCCAACTGAGGAGATCTTCTTCTGCCTGGTGGTTGAACTCAGAAGCAATCTTGTCTTTTTTCTGTGGTACCGGGGATTGAACTCAGGACCCTGGCTTGCTAGGCAGGCGCTTAGTCTACTAAGCTATCTCCCTAGCCCTCAATCTTGTTCTTGACCTCTGCCGAGAGCCCACAGGAAGGACTCTTCTTAAAGTGGGCTGTGGTGGTCCAGGCAGCAGAAGGGCTGTGCTTGGGGCTCGCACAAGGCATTTCCTCACCCCTGGCTGCAAGTGGTGGTGTGGGAGATGCTCACAGCTGGTGGAGAGGGTGACCCGTGGAGCCTCAGGATGTGCTCGGGAGCTGGCCTGGCTGCTTCACCCACTGTCCGCACCGTGCTATGCATAAACTTGTAATTTCCTTTTCAACCATTCCATAGCTTGAAATTCAGGGCTCACGTGTGGATTAAGTGCATGGCTGTTTGAAGGAAGATCAGTTATTGCATTAAAATTATCCCCTAGTGATTACAAGCTGATGAGGCCCACAATCTTCCATCAAGTAGATTTGACCTCGAAGGCTCAGATAAATGAAACAAACAAAATAATATCAGGGCTCCAGGAAGATCCAAACCCTCTGATGGAATTCTCTATTTTCTAGGTTAAGACAAAGAACTTCTCTGGGCGGTCCATATTTATTAGCTTTTCAAACAAAGGAGGGGGACACTGTAGAAAATGCAGGAATCTGGGCAGGACGTCGGAGTCCTTTCAAGGATTTCTCCGAGTAATACACAATGTTCACTCAGGAGAACTGGGTTATCTCCAGGAAGGCTTTCACTGCGGGCGTGAGAAGTGTGCAGTGAAGTCTCCTTTTAGTTAATTAGGGTTGGAGCCAAAGTCCTCAGCAGTGGCCTTGTCTTGTCCTTTGAGGCGTCACAGCTTCACAGACTGCTACAGGCCTTGGTGGGGACCCATGACTCACAGAGGTTCACTGGCTGAGTCCGCTGCCCACCTCCAGCCAAGGGCCGAGGCCTCAGGCAAACTCACACGTACACATGGAAAGCTGACTGGTTAGCAGTAAATCCTGCTCAGAGCTGCTGTGGCAGTCTCCATCAGTCACCTTCCCAGAAACGTTTCCCCAGTGGAGGATTCTGCTTTCAAGTCCTTAAAAGTTCTTGTATCAGAGCTGCTGGAGGTTGTTTCTTACAGAAAGGTTAGATGAAGCAATGTGACCCCAGAGACTCAAGGGTGAGGCATCCAGAGAGGGAGAGAGGTTGGCTAGTGACCAGGGACCTCACAAGCTGGGAAACTAAGCCATCCTGTTTTGGTTTCTATTTCTATTAATTTTTAAAGACCCAGTGTGTCTTTCAGTGAGACGGTTGTTATTGAGCTCATTTGAGTCTACGTCATCAGCCTTCCATGCGCACCGTCAGATAAGCACCGGAGCTTGAGTGTTGAGCATGACAAAGATGTTGATGCCATTTTCCTAATTTAGGATCTTTCCTACACTAAGGGCTGGAAGTGAGGGCATTTGAACTTAATGCTTTCCTTTTAGTCAGCAGGAAACAACCCCAAACAGTATTAAGTGACAACCACTCAGGTGGCAGGGTTTTCAATGCTAAAGCCTGACCAGACTCACGCAGGCTGGGACAGCTGGTCACCCCGATTGGCTTGGGCAGTACACACGCACCTCACATAACCCTCCTGGCGAATGCTGCACTTGTTCATGTCCACTTCTTACAAAGGAAGGCTAAAGGCAGAAGAGATTCAGAAACTTACTTAGGCTGCACACACCAGCAGTAGAGGCGCCTCAGTTTGGTTCAGTGTGACGTCACAGTGCCCTTTCTGCCCTGCCACACGGCAGGCTTATTAGTCCTGTTCATTCACCAACTCTTTGAGCCACACACCCAGCACATATTTCAGAGTGCAGAATGTGTGTTGTGTGAGTACTGGGTTCCAAATCATTTCTCAGATGATCTGTCACACTGGCAGATGCGGAGTCTGCAGACAGCAGAGTAGCACTTTCACAACACCACTGCATCAGATTCATGGGGCCGTGGCTTGGGACTGAGTTCCTGCACCAGACCCAACAGACGGGACCAGACCGGAACGGAGTCACTTGAGTCTGGTGCCAGTGAAGATGCCTGAATCTTCCAAAACAAAAGAGATTCACAGGAGCGAATCAGATGAGGCTGCTTATCTGAGCCACAGGGCAAGGAAGCCCCCTCGGTTCTAACCCTGCACAGTGAACTTAAATGACCACTGCGCTACTGTCTGTTCCTGCTCTTCGGCCCTTTCCTGTCTTCCAAACCACCCCTCCGCTGGGCTTGGCAGAGCGTCTCCGCTACACCTTCTTCTGGGCTGCTGCCATTTCTGCCGTGAGTACAGAGGCAGTGACAGCTTTACTTTTGTGGAATTTTTTTTTTTAAAGACAAAACAATAATAACCACAACAGAGACTAAACTTTCAAGCACTCCAGTACAATTAGAGCCTGAAGGCAATGCAATCAACTTTTAAGTACTTAGTGCTTCAATATTCCGTGGTACAGTACAGTTCTTTTCCTTTTCTTTCTTTTTTTTTTTGGGGGGGGGGGACAGGGTCTCACTACATCAACCAGGCTAGTCTTGAACTCACTACATAGCCCGTGTTGGCCTTGAAGCTGCAGTGGTCCTCCTGCTTCAGCCTCGTGCATGCTGGGATTACGGATGTGCATCACCTTGCTTACCAGTCAGATATTCTAAAAGACACTTCAAGTGAAGGAGAGTCAGTGACACTTCTTCGTAGCCTATGGCAGTCTTTCAAGTTAGAGCAAACATCTGACTCTCTTGCACACATAAACTCTCATACGCTTGTACGCTTATGCAGTCTTACACTTCCACACATGACTTTCTTATAGATAGGCATACACTCATACAGCCTTCGCATGTACACCCACAACTTCACTTTTACATGTGCTCACACTAGCACACACTCCTACACACACCATTTCACAGTACACATGTAATATACACCCATGCACACATGCCTCCCACATTGAAATGTGCAACTCTTATTCTCACACATGCGCACAAGCTCACGCGCTGTCACGCGCATGGCCTTCCTCTTGCTGCCCGTCACACACTGCCTCCTGGCTGGCTACATTCAAACTCTCGCCATCTTGGTGATCCGGATCCCCTTCCTCCTGGGGGGTGGCTAGCTTTGATTGCAGTGAAGGCTTCATGCTTGTTTTCTTGATAAGATAACAAATGTAACAAGGCCTGGAAGCCTCAGATGTTCCTTGCATGTCACAGCCATCTTTCCTCAGTGGCCCAGCATGAAATTGAGTTCTTTGTTTGCTACCAAATAATGCACTGGCCCTGGGGACCGAGGCTTGGCTCTCCGGAGCAGGAACGAGCATGCATCGCTCACTCCGGACCTTGCTGGCACGCTGCACAGTAGGCGGCTTTCACTGAGTACCTACATAGCAGATGACACCGTGCACCACTAAATGTGCTTTTGTCTTTGTTATGGTCCAACAAGAGAATTTCTCAAATAAAAAAAAAAATCAGTTTTATGACTGTTACTTTGGTCACTCTTCAAGGAACGGGATCATTTTTCCAGGGGAATCTCACACATACTCATTTGTGACTTACTCTTTTCCTTGGAAGAAATTCTCACAGTCTTGGGAGCATCTCTAGCAGGCTGGGATTGGGAGCTCCCTTGGGCAGCAGGAGCTGGTGGCGGATCCTGCCTGAAAAGTGTCCAAGGGAGGCTGTAGCCAAGAAAACTCATTTTTACTCATTTAGAAACATTTGAATCCTTCATCCATCCGACAACTCAGGGATGTTATGGGTCAACTCTGCATAGGAACCAGATCAGCCAGATAGAAATTTGAATAGAGCCTTTTATTTACTGAGCTCAGGTCCGTCAGCCACTTCTCTCGCAGGAGAAGGCTGATCGGCCCCGGACATAGGTAGCAAAGGGGTATTTATAACAGAAATCACATCTAGTTTGGTAAGCAAATTTGTTATCTAGTATAAAGCAACAGAAACTATATTTATTTGACACAGCTATAAACTGTTTATAACTAAAAGGTCTTTTACAGCTTAGTGATAAATATATATTTTTATAAGATATATCTTAAGCTGACTATGTTATAGGAGATGGTTGGGGAGGGAGTTTGTGTTCGCTTGCTGCCTTGACAAGAAACAGTTATTTATTGTTAAACAGCCTTGAGCCAAAAAATATATATTTTTAAAATAGAGAACAAAAAACACAAGGGGTTTTTATAATTTTTTATAGTTAAAACACAAAACTCTGTTAACCCTTTACAAGGGGGAATAACTTTTCACAGAGACAGATAACCCTGTTGTGTGCCTGTTTAGCGTCCGACTTGTGGTGAAAGGGATCCATCCGTTGCTTATTTATGTTGAGTTTAGTGAGCTTGGTGGGTAACAGGGCAGGCAAGGTCTTCCTGAGGGAGTGGGATTTCACTGAGGCCTTCTAGGACCGAGGGCCTTACCAGAGGGCCAGAGTAGAGGCCAGCTGGGGAGGGTCTGGCTGGGTGCTGAGGAGACAGGGTGACTCTTGTCCCCAGTACAACATGCTTGGAGACAATGAAGCAGCACAAAAGTGAAAATCTAAACAAGCGCCGCCACCTTTCACCTTACAAAATCACCAAAATTTGCACTCTTTTGAGTTTTTGTCATTTGCATACCACTGAATTTTTATCCTTGATTAGGTTACATCAGAATTTCTTCATAACTGCTGAACATTCTGTAAGAGTTGAGTATTTCCAGTGTGTCCGCCAAAGGACTGTCTTTCAGGTGACTTAGTCCTCAGTTGATGATTTTGACATTGTGAGAGGCAGGCACTCTAAGAGGTGTGGCTTCATGGGAGGTCCTTAGGTGGGAGGAGAGCTAAATTTGGAAGGGACTAAATTGGTGCTGGAACCCTGAGCTCTCTTGGGAGGAGTGGGTGGTTACTACAGTGAGTTCTCCCCCCCACTTCCTGTACCCCTACTCCACTTCTAAACCTCTACCCCACTTCCTGTACCCTGCTCTACTTCCTGTACCCCCACCCCACTTCCTGTACCCTGCTCTACTTCCTGTTCCCCCACCCCACTTCCTGTACCTCCACCCACTTCCTGTATGGAGATCTTGTCCTCCCACATGCACTGTGAGGTCCTCCCTAGAGCTGACCACAGCCTGTGACACTAAGTTGGGATCTTCCGCCTCTAAAACTGTGAGCTGAATAAACCTCTCAGGATGTCAGCCTGCTGCCAGCACTTTGACAGTACACCTGACTAGTATCGTGGCTCTGAGCACAGAGGGACAGAGTGCAATAAGAGAAAACACCAGGTCTTTAAGAGTTGAGGTCCTGCCACTCCTGAAGTATGTCCCTTAGCAGTCACTTTCTCATCCAGGGTAGAGCTTTATGGGAGGCCTCAGGTTGGTGGAGGGGCCTCTGTTTTCATGAGACCATGATGAACTCTCCAGGGCACCTGGCAGAGGTGACCCTGGGGCTACCAGAATGGCATAGGGCCACCAGGATGGCCTGGTGGACAGACGAGGGGTGTCACTTGGTAAAGCAGGGAGCAAGGCTTGATCTTAATCTGACATGAATGAGGTGACTTAATGGGACTGAGTGGAGGGGGCGCAAAATTAGGCAGGTGGGATTGTCTGGGAGGAAGCCCAGAGCAACAGGCATCAGTAATAGACTGAAGTCCTGCTGGCTGGCAGGGGCCCAGAGGTGCTGGAAGGCCCGGAGGGGGGGCCTGATGTGTCTGCAACTCAGTAGCAGTGTGGTGTGCTCCCCGGATCTGTGTGCGCTGGACACAGAAGCCTTCTGTGCTCTGGGTCCTGAGTCAAGGATGATGCTGATAGGACGGGCCTGTAACCTGTGTATGGCTACTTTTTGAACAACTTAGGGCAGATAGCAACCCTCCCCAAGGCTGCATCTGGCCCTAGGAAGGCTGATTCTGCTTTGAGAACTGTATCAGCCATCTGCCCACCTCTGGTAGGGGAGATGCACACCCCACCCAACCCCCCTCCATCCCCAGAACTGGGCTCTGCGTCTAGCTGCACCTCAGCCCCTGAGGCTCATTTGTCTCCATCTGGGGCGAGGGTCTTCTCTGAAGATTGTGTCGTGCGCTGTTTCCTTAGGCACCAAGCCAGAGTTGAGGCAACTCCTCTGGGAGAGGGCAATGCCACCCACACCTGACAGCAGGACAGAGGCTGAACAATGTGAGCCTGAAATGCCAGTGAATTATACAGTCTGTGCTAAGGCTCACATTTCTATAGCAGTGACAACTGAAAGGACCTGGGGGAGGAGGCAGGAGCCCAGGCCTCTGCCTTGGACGCCACAGGGCCAGGGTTCCCTGCGGTCAGGGGTCGGGAGTCCAAGCCCTGTGGACTGAGTGGAGCTCACCTTCTACCCAGAGGTGTGAGGGCCTCCTTTTGGTCCACAATGCTGCAGGATTCTTGGGTGCATTCTGCCCACAGGTACTGGTTTTCCTACACAAGAAAAGGCCTTCCTCTCTAGGTGTCCCCCTGTGTGGACCCAAGAAGGTACTCTGGAGGGGGAAACAGACCTGTGCTTTGGAACTGGGATGAGAGAGGAGGCCTGGGGACTGGGAGAGGCCCAGGCCATGGAGGTCTCTGGGTTTTGTGCCTAGGATGGGGCGCTGAGGACCCACAGCAGGATCCAAGCCCCTAGTCCCTCCAGGGGACAGAGCCCCCTTCCCCACCTCCAGCCCTGATCCTTCTCTCACAGACAGCTAAATTAGGGAGAAATGTTCCAGGCAGTCAGATAAGGCTCCATCCAGGAGGGATCAGTGCAGAGGGTGACAACACAGCACAGCGTGGCCCTCGGAGGTCCATTGGTCAATGGCCAGGCCTCAAGATGAGATGGCAGGATCTGACCAAGCCTTCTCACCTCCAGTCACTCGGAATTACGCTATAATTGGTATCATCTGGTCCAGTGAGGTTCAGCTAAGTATCAGTCACCTGGGTGGGTGACCGGGCCCTCTGGACCTCTGCTGTCCCCAATGCCTTTGTTCTCTCCATTACCCTTGCAGGGTGATCTCTTCTCTACTGGATCAGCATCAGCTAAGCACTATGCCTGCAATCTTATTGGTTATAGTCTGACCCATGTTTTACTCACCTCGTGATTTTGTTCTATAAGACATTCTTAGGGAGGTGGCCCCCGTGGCAAGCATATGGGTCCCCTCCTGTCGCTCAGGTGCCGTCGCCCAATAAAATTTTTCTGCTTTTAATCTCAGTTGTTGCTCAGAATTCATTCTTCTGTTTTTGGGGCCAGAAACTCAGCGTAGCTGACATCCAGCGGGTTAGGAGCTACATTTTCCCCTCTGTCGCTGAGATCCTAGCCCAAGACCCCTGGGTTCGCAGGTTCCAGGCCACGGCCCACAAGGCGCCGGGTGGAGCCCACGCCACGTGACCGCGCGGCCCAGAAATAGAGCGGTTCCGCCCGCGGCGGCTGCGGCCAGACGAGAAGGGCGCCGGGGTGCTGCGGAGCCCCGGCCGGAACAGGATGGCGATCCGCGAGCTCAAAGTGTGCCTGCTCGGGGTGAGTGGCCCCGCATCCCGACCCTGAGGCCGCGCTCGTCCCTTGCACCCCCGTCCGCGCTCCCCAAAGCCCCGAGCTCCCGGGTGCGCGCGCTCCGGTCCCCTTCGCACTCGGCGCCAGCCAGCCCAGGTCCCGCCCCGCCCAGGACACCCGAAGGGAGGGAAGTGGGGCGACAAGTCCGGGCCCCCGCCAGCCCGAGCACCAGGGCTCTCTCCTCCGCCGTTGATGATTTCCTTCCGGAGGAATGTGTAAGTTGCTCGGCCCGCGCCAGCTCAGTTTCGTCCTCTGGACAGTTGGTTTATCCGCTAAAAAAAAAAAAAAAAAAAAAAGCTGGCGAGGACATCGCGGGCAGGCGCTGGTGGGAGCGCAGAGCTGCGGGGTGGGGATCCCCGCGTCGCCCCCGTCTGGCCCAACACAAGGATCATCCCAACTGCAGCAGACAAAGAAGCCGCTGCACCCGCGCAGCCCGGCCCCTGCCTCGGGGGCTGGGGGGCAGTAGCTTGAGGTCTCTTTCCTTAGGAGGAGGGTCAGATTCCTGAATCACTTCTTCCAGGAGAGTGGGCCCTGGCATGGAGGCCTGGCGAGCTGCCCTGTAGCTGGCAATCCGGGCTCTTTGGAAGCCCACGTCCTCAATCGGGCGGCCGCAGGACGCTCTCTGTTGTCTCCAAGGAGGGCCTGAGGGGCTCCTGCCTACGTAGGAGGTGTGCCGAGGAAATGCCTGCCAGGCTGGCTCCCGACTGTCCGACTGTCGGGCAGCGTGGACTTCACCGGGGCCCTTCCGGCCCCTCCTGCAGGAAGGTGCTCTTGGGGCTGTCCCCGGAGGTCCTGGGCCAAGGCGGTTCCCTGCCCGGAGTTCAGGATGGCAGAGCGGTCACCGCGGGCCCAGGGCAGGGGCTGTGCAGGGTTTCCTCTGTGAGCTTTGAGCATGGTGTAGTGGGCGTGGCTTCACGCTCACGGGGCGCTCTCTTGTTGTCCGGATCTCCAGGCCAGGAATCCCATGCTTCTGGAGGAGCTGGGCCCCCTTGGAAAGGCCTTCAGAGAATCGGAGGGTAATGGTGACCCAAGGATCGAGGGGCAGCTTTGACGTGGGCTCAGGTTGGCTCGTCTGACGCTTTCTCCCTGTGATCTGCATGGGTGGCAGAAACCTCTGCCCCATCACACAACTCTTATTAAAGTTTCTGTTCCAGTATTTCTGGGAGCGTTTTCACATCCTTCTGCAGGGACAGTGGCCACGTGGCAGGAGCCCAGCGCAGGACACGGGTGGCCAGGCTCTCTTTCCCAAGAACTAGACATTCAGCTTTGGGTGAGGGGCGCAGTCATTCCATCTGGAAAATGGGGCTCATGACAGTTGTGTGGGAAGCCAGGGAATTAGGCCAGATGGCCCAGCATTTCCTGTTACCTGAGACTCCAGGGTGATGACTAGCAAACCTGGCAGATGGAGAAGCTGGAAGAAATCTCTTGGCTTCCTTCCCTTCATCTCCCACCCGGGATGAGTGCTCACTGGGGCTTCCCGGCCCTCAGGCCTTTCCTGGGGTTGCTTCTTCTTGGTGCCAGATCTGTTGGGAGGAAGTTTTAGTGTGGAAGGAGGAGGAACGTTGCCAAGGAGAGAAAGAAGAAACTTCAGGGCAACTGGGGATTTGGAACATCGACCACACCAAACTTGTGGGCTTCCACAGGTGTGCTGGGGCAGCTGTGCGCTTTGGTCCTGCTGAGGTCATAGGACCTCTCATTTGCCAGGGAGAGAACTAACCTCCCACACATCTCCGGGTATTTGCAACAGGCAGGGTTTCCAGCTGCTCATCCGAAGAGGATGGTACCTGAGTGAGATGGCTCTATCCCGAGACCGCTGGGTCCCTGGAGCCCGAATCCCAAAGTGTGCTCAGAGGTGTGCCTGAGTGTATATGCGCCTGGTGCTCAGAGTCCTGTGTTTTGGCCATGCTGTACCTCCCTGAAGTCTCAACAGGATCCAGCCTGGCAGCCACACCCCCAAATGCCCAGAAGGTGACAGAGAATGGGGACCTCAAGAGTAAAATCTGGCTGTCCACTGGAGAACTGAGAAATTGGTGTTTTTGTGCCAGCTCATTTGCTTAGTGATTGCTTGGAGCATAGGGGACAGCTGTCCCCTTGCGGGGTGCAGGTACAGCTGCCTTAGACGTGGGTAGTGATGCTTTCATCCCAGGTCCCTTGTGACTCTGGGTCTCAGGCCCTTCCTGGGGAGAGGCTGTGTCCCCTGACTTTCATCCTTGCATGGACAGTGCCGGGCTCAGGTCTTCTTTACCTGTGCTGTGCTTTGTGGGTCCTGTAATTCCTCTATCCTCTTGGCCTGTCCAGCCTTCCTTCCAGCATTGACAGTGGCCCCTGGAACATTCTCTTCTGACTACCAAAGCTCTGAGAGAACCAAGGACTCGAGAGCAGCAGGCCCCAAGCAAATTCTTGGCTTACAGTTTTTCATGTGTGGACTTTCTCATGTGAGCAAGTCCCCTGGGGACTGTCCCATGAGTTTGAGAGTGCCCTGTTCAAGCACAAGCTGGGCTGATGGAGACGTGCTTTTCCAGGGTTGGTGTGTTTGTTCAGGAGAGCAATCTGGGGGGTGTTGGAGGGCACCCAGGGCTCCCCAGGTCTCGTTCTTACCTATAAAGTACCAATCACCTGGCTCAAGAATCTGAACTACTGTTATGAAATATGGAGCTTAAAAAACATTCATAAAACAGAAAAATCTGTTTAAAATAAACCATCAAAAACAGTATTGACACAGCAGCCGTTTCAACTTCAACATGGAAAGCTTCTCAGTATGTATTTTTAACACATATCGCCACATGGCCAAAGCAGGGGAGGGAGAAAGAAAGGGGGAGTGTGGAGGGGGGATTTCTCTTTATTATTCCCTCAGGGCGTCTGTGCACATGCACTGAAAATCTACTTCCGGACAGAATCCCAGAGTTTTATCTGTGTGCTTTGGTTGTCTTGACAACAGTGCAGAGATCCCGCCCACTTCCTTTCTGGCTGAGTGGGTGGCTGAAGACAGCAAGGACTTCCCGGCTTCTGCGAGGAAGCTTGGAGCAGCTCTTGGCCTTTGCTGGAATCCCCACGTTGGTGCCTGACAAAGTCGCTATGCGCACCAGGTTTCAGATTTGCACAGGGCCTGCGTGTGAAGGGCTCTGGAAGCCCAGGACTAGAAAAGCTTTCTGCCTGCAGAGGGCCTGGCAGCCCGTTGTGCAACCTCACCTCTCCGAGCAGTCGCGAGCGTTCTATGAGGGAGAGCACCCAGCAAGGTCCTGTGCACCCGGAGCTGTGGCAGTGGGGAACGCCTGGTGGGGTGGGGTGGGCCGGTAAGCTTCTTGGTCTGTGCTCTGGGCATGTGACAAAATAGCTGAGGCTGGATCTTGTAGAAGGTAAGGAGGTTGTTTGGCTCAAGATCCTAGAGCTGGAGGGTCCACAGGGCAGGTGTCAGGTCCCCAGGAGGCAAGTGTATTGGTGGCCTCCAGGAGCGACAGCTGGCCCCCGTGTTCTGACTTCCTCCAAGTCTCCATCCTGAGGACCAAGTGTCCATCACCTGCGCCCTTGGGGCAGAGCACATCCAGCCCGCTGCAGCCTGTGTGCACACACTAAGACCGTGGGGGTCCAGCAGCCGAGTCCTGGCCATGCCTGGTTCCTGTCCTAAGTTGAACCTGTGTGGACAGTGCCTCCCCACAGGAGTGCCTTGGGCGGCTTTGTGTCATATGCGAAGAGTGGACGTGAGGTAAGGGTCATCCTTGCTGGCCCCCTCTTCCTCTTTGGCTTGGGGTGGCTGTGGCCAGCCCCTCCTCAGCCTTAGAGCTCAGCCATCTCTGTCTGTCAGGATTGTTGCAGCATTTTCAAGCTGCATGCAGCCCTTCCCTCATCCTCGGGTCTCAGCTTGGGCTGCTGAGGGACCACATCACAGACATTGGCTCCTCATGATTCTGGATGTCAGGGAGTCAGAGACCCAGGCACTGGTTTATCCGGTACAGTGAGGGCTCCCACTGGCTTGGACCGGGAGCACTGGGCTACAGTTCTGTCCTTTTAAGGTTTTATTTTGCACTGGTTCTTGCTAACTTGCCCAGGCTGGCCTCAAACTTGCAGCTGTCCTGCTGTAGCCTGCCATTTAGCTGGGCTTACGGTCATGTGTGTGCTACTGTGCTCCTTTTCTTCTTGTAAGGCTGCTAATTCCATTTGTGAGGACCTTCCTTTGTGACCTAGTCATATCCCAAAGGGGACATCTAGTATCCTTACACTGGGGATTAGGCTTCAATGTAAGAACTTGCAGGGAGGGACCCAAATATTCACTCAGCACCTTGACTTCAGCCCTCAGGAAAGGCCCCACCTTTGCCCTACCCCAGTATTGCCCTTTCAGGAAGGATATTGTGTACTTTAGGTCTGGTCCAAGGCCACAGTCATTGGAAAATAGAAAACTAAGGTTCTAGGACAGGGATTGGGAGATAGCTTGATGGTCTAAGTGCCTGCCTGGCAAGTGCAAGGACGTGGGTTCGATCCCTAGTACCACACACAATGTCCCCGTTACCCCAGGTGCACCGTGCTGGCCCCAAACCTAGGCGTGGTAATCCACGCCTAGGTTCCCAGCACTGCGGGGCTGAAATGGGAGGATCACTCTGAGTCCAACCTGTGTAATGAGGTCTTTAACCAAAGAAAGAAATACATAAATGATTAAAAATTAAGGTGGTAGGACATCCAAAGATTTTAAACTCATTCATTTGAAAAGGATTTCAAAATGTGAGTGTCCTACAGATTAGACGAATTTGGACTTGTGTGCTTGTGTGAAGCTGATACTTCATTGTTTTGGTTTCATGATTTATATGGGTTTGAAAATGGATCAGGGACTCCCCCCTCTGGCACTGATTCAGTGCTTCTGTCCTGTTCAGAGCTGTGGGTGGTCCCAGGTGGGCAGGACGAGGTGGCCCCTCCTGTCCAGGCGCAGACACAGGCCAGCAGTGAGCTGAGTGGTGTGGCTCCTGTTCTTGCTCAGT